CATGCAAAATCTTTCTGCATTTCCTCCATGACAACTAAACTATGCATTGTTTTTTTTTTCCGCCAAGACCAGCAGGAACGGCGGCAAGTCGCACAGGAAGACGACAGAGAGTCCCAGACCCACGCCTTGCAACGATGCAGGTCCATCCCGGAAGTTCATCCCAGGGTGAGGTCTGGTATTCTTTGGTGTCTTCCTGTGGTGTTTCTATCGCTCGTGCCGATCTCGGGGAAAAAGCGAAGCGATCGGAAGCGTGGGAGTAAGCGGGGAAGAGCGGGGAAGAGCGGGGAAGAGCGGGGTGCCAGGGAGGGACGGACTCACTCGAGCGCAGTTGCAGGCCGGGCGACGAAGCGAACTGACGTGACAGTCCAGACTCTTCGAAACCGAACCGACATAAAAAGAAGCAAGAATGAGAAGCGTGCAGAACGAAAAACACGCGAAGCAGGTGTGCAAGCGAAGCCAGGAACTGCACTAGTGAGGAAGGAAAAGCACACACGTGATGCAAGGGCACAAAGGATGCAGACTCACTTGCTGGATTCGCCCAGCCTCCGGTCGGTGGCAACGGTAGTGGAGGAGGGGGGTTGCTCGAGGAGGGAGGAGGTGGAGGGCCGCTTCCACCAGGAACGGGAGGTGGGGGTGGAGGGCCCATGCCTGGAGGTGGAGGAGGGGGTGGAGGACCCATACCTGGAGGTGGAGGAGGGGGTGGGGGGCCCATGCCTGGAGGCGGAGGTGGTGGAGGCGGACCTCCACCTGGGAAAGGTGGAGGAGGAGGTGGAGGTGGGCCAGCACCTGGGAGTGGGGGTGGGGGAGGAGGTGGAGGAGGTAAATTTCCACTTGACTCTGGAAGTGAAGAAGCTGGAGGTTTGGGAGAGGAAGCGGAGGAATAAGGAGGCGGTGGGGGCAATGCCGATGACGATATCGACTCGTTACAGATGGATCCAGGGAGGCCAGGTTCCTCTCCGGTTGGCGTTTTGAAATCCTCGGCAATCTTCTTGTTGAGCTCCTGCGGGGGAAAAGGGCGTCATCACCACGCATTTTTTCCTACAGGGAACGTTCGAACCGACGTTCGAACCGCCTCACCTGCAGACCCAAGAGGGTCTTGCACCTCTCCATCTCCTCCTGGAGAGCCGCGTTCTCCTTCTTGAGCCTCATGAGCTCCTCCTGCAGACTCTTGACGGTGAGAGGCACCTTCTGACCGGGTTCCGCTTCGCTGCCCTGATCCAACCTCCACCACCCCTTCACCGCCTGCAGAATCTCTGCAAGACACACGAGATCGGTCGAGGCCGCTTCATCCCCCTCCAACCCCCCCAAAGACCCTCGCCTCACTCACCTCCACCCTCCGCATCCAATATGTGCAACCCCGACCCCTCACCTACGAGACATAAATCGACACCGTCATCCACCGTCATCCACCTCCTCCACCCCCCCAACCAACGCACTCACCCTTCCCATTGACGAGCGTAGCGCTAGACGCACTCGACACATCCCTCTCCTTCTCGTGCGGCCACACCATATCGAGCGACAACCGCCCCGGACTCATCGCCGGCTGCTCGAATCCCAGCCTGTACGCCCACCCGTACAGCTCGTCCAACTGTAACGAATCACAAAAAAAATGACTTTCTCTCCCAGAGAAATCAAAGCACTCACTCGCACAAAAACCTTCCCCGCATCACAAACCAACCTGAGCCTGAAAAAAAGACAATTTGTGAGGGAAAGAGACCATGCCCCACCGGACAATCCCCCTCATCCCCCCGCCGTAAAACCAAAATCCACTCCAGGTCAGCGCGCCCAACGGCCAACCGAGACGAGACGTCATCTCCCCCCCCCCCACACGGTCCACGACCCGTTAACGAAGTCCCAATTCTTTTGAGAACGGACTTCCCCCATTGTCCACCCGTCACAGCAACCATTATCGCCTCCGCACGGAGCAGACGACACGGGTGGGAGGACACGCCCCCAGCAGACGAACCGCGTGACGCCACCCCAACCCCTCGACCGGACCGAGAACGAAATGACTCGGGAAAATCCTCTCCAACCGGGAAAGCCGTGGAAATTTGCAAGCAAGCGAGTCCGCCTCTCGCTCAGGCTCGTATTCACTCATAAATTCTGAGAGCAAATTCTGAGAGCAAATTCTGAGAGCAAATTCTGAGAGCAAATTCTGAGAGCAAATTCTGAGAGCAAATTCTGAGAGCAAATTCTGAGAGCAAATTCTGAGAGCAAATTCTGAGAGAAAATTCTGAGAGAAAATTCTGAGAGAAAATTCTGAGAGAAAATTCCTCACGGAGAAGAAACATCCATCCATACCGGAAGAAGCAGGGGAAAAAAAGGCCCGAGCACGACCGCATCCGAGTGGAATCCACCGGCTCCACCTCGCACAAATGAGCCGCGCCAATCGGCTGTGCCAAACCCCAGCTGCAAAAACTTCCTCGGAGCACGACGTCACTTCACGATCGATCCTTCCCCCGCGATCTCCCTTGGCTCAGGCCGGCTCGACACAACTCGACACGATCAAACGCGGCCGTCTCGCGTCATCCCGACAAAGGGGGACGGGGGAGGGGGAGGGGACCAACGGTGACGTCACGTCGGAGGACGATCGCGGAATGCTTTCAACCCTGCTCTTATCGAAGAATGCCTAGAGTATCTCAGCGCCTTACTCCCAGATTTAAATGGAATGCGGACGTAGGCGGGAGAGCCACTCGGCCCCCCGACCGGACCACTCGGTCCCTCCGAATCGGCCCCTCCGACCCGTCCGCACGAGATTTTGCGCAACCGCGCGTATTTTGCGCAATTTGCATCGAACGCCCGATTCATCGCCTGAAATAAGCAGTGATGCTGCAAAAAAACGCGCTCATTGAGGAAAAGCGCCGATCGCTCGCGTGAGTCACGTCCAGTCGAGCGGATCGAAGGCGACGCCCGTCCGCACGTGGTCGCCGAGTAGAGGCCTGCGCGGACCGAGTTCTCCCCGACCCGACCCGCCCGTCGCGGTCGACAAAAACACGTCCCGCGAAGGACTCTACCACAAGAACGCGAAGAATTGATGACGCTCGCAGGTGAAGAGCGCGATAGCGTCACGATGACGACCGTCCTGGAATTTAATCACACAATTACCAGGAAAGATTTCTGGGGCATTTCAGGGAGACAACCACTCAAAACTCTTCTTCACTTCACTTCACTTCACCCACACAGCCCCAAATTCAGACTCAAAATCGATTCAGCCGGACCGACATTAAAATTTCAACATTTTGGGCGGGCGAGGGGGCACTTCGACCATCCCCGGCCGACAAACGCGACCGCACCCGACCCAAAACCCCTGAAAGCAGACGACACAGAAGCAGACGACGCCGATGACGTCACTCACCCGAAAGGGCACCGGGCCCTGCGCCTCCTCCTCGGGGAACCGGTGGATGACCCCCGCGGCGAGGAGCCGGGCCGCCGTCGCCATCGCCACCTCCCTCACCTTCCCCTCCGCCTTCCCCTCCACCTCCCCCACCTTCCCCACCTTCCCCTCCTCCTTCTCGTTCCCGCCCATCAGCCAGTTCACCAGCATCCCGCCTGCACGAACGCAATTAAATACATTCACTTATTAAATAAATAACATGAAATATATATTTTATTTAAATAATGACGGTCGAATCGCAATTTCGATCATAAAAACTTTCAAAACAAACTAAATCCCGGAACGGCACACAAAATGCGAACATTTAAATCACATCCACCGCATCAGAAAATTTCAAACTGAAATGATGAAAAAAAAAAATTAATTTGGACATTTGGACGGGACCCAAATGGAAGACGGAGGGGAATTCCTCGATCGTCCGAACGAGAACGGCTGCCGTCGATCCGAAGAAGCCGTAACGGGATCCCGCGACATCGCTCCATCCCGACATCGCTATGTCCCGACATCGCTCCATCCGCTTCGGCCTCGATCGGTGCATCCGGCGACGCACGTGATGGAAAACGCGGGAGGTGCGTCGACGAACCGCACGTCCCGAGAGCGGCGTGATCGATGGCAACGGGTTTTTCCTCTTCTTCCTCCCACCGCATTTGCATTGCGCCACTGCGAGGAGTGGGGGCCTCGATGGGGCTTCGATGGGTCCTTGGTGGGGCCTCGTTGAGAAACGATGATTCCACGCCCGCTGTTCAAAGAAAGCGTGGACTGTTGACACGCAGCGCGACGTGAAAGGCCGTCTCCAGCACGTCTGGCACAGCCGAGGGTGGCTCGTCCACCGTTCGCTCCCGGCTCTTCGTGGGCTGCCATCCGTTCCGCCGGCGTCCGAGAGGGCGGATTCACGGTCACGAGGAGGCGCGGCGGGCCGAGAGGGCTACATCCGCGTGCCGCGCCGAAAACAGGAGAAAAAAAAACGGACGCGGAAGGT